AGATACTAACACGATCCATATTGTAACCCATAGATGGATCACCCGTCTGAATGTATCTTTCGAACGTCGTCTGACGTTCAGACGCAAATGATTATACGACATTGTTCCTACCAAACCAATATATATATATATATATATATATATATATACAACGTTTGGTGAAGGTGAGGTTTCGTCTCTGTAGTGTGAGTCGACGTCGGCTTCTGTTTTTGGGGGGCGTCCCAATGGCTGTCGGGGTGCACTTAACACTCTATTAAAGGGCGTCGGCCCGCCCCGTTTCAGATTATTTGCTTAGTCAAGGAAGTGAAGCAAAAAACATGAGTACAGTGTGGAATTTTGTTAGCCCAAGTGAAGATAAGATCCAGGCAACCACTTTACCTAGACCATTTTAAGGGAACAGGAAGACAGACTTCGAGTAATCTAGAGACTAAGCACTTGTTGGTGTGAGTTCGGAATATCGGAATATTGTACGCATGAATATTAAAACAACCTATCTGAACTATCGACGCTAATGAAAATGCTTCGACGAAATGAGAAATACCTATTACAGTTACACCTAGCAGAAAATTGAACTATACCTTAACTTCAACGTACATTCTACAAAAGTTAACGCGGAACAACATATCACAACAGGAGGTTTCCGGCGTATTTTTCAATACCTACAACACGCTTTCATTCATAGCGCACAAGCACATCAACATGATTATTTAATAGTGAAACCGCACTGTCGGGCTTCCCATATATTAGGAAGGCGGTAATCACTTATGAAATTGTTACGTAGTGAAAATAAATGGATTATTAAAATATATTTCGAATAATTGATGACTTAAACGCGCCTACGTTTAACGCGTTGCTTTTGACTCTTTAGATAAGTTGAACAGTGATGATAGAATGCCAAGAATTGGCTAACACGTCCTAGAAGCACACACCATCGCTTGATGTAGCAGCTAACAGAAAAACAACGTACTAGCTGAGTATATTAAACAAAGTTGGTTCAATAATTCCAATAGAGCCTGTTCTAACAGTGTTACATTATGCGTAGTTGACACCTGCCAAAAAAATGAAGCATAGATCCACTTAGCATATACATAAATAATGAAATTCGCACTATTTGCCGAGCATACACCCCGATATGTTGTAGCCATTCATTCTGTTAATTATACAAGATGTATCCATGCCGCCAGTTCTGTCTATTTGCAACCTCGACATCCAACGGGTGTTCCGCGGTTTAAGATTTTTTGAATCTGAAAACCCGCCACGTAAGCCCGACACGCTATCCTACTAACAGATCCCTCTGGTCATATGAGTCTTAAACTGAAGTGCAGAACGTGACGTAAAGCTCCGCGAAACGTTCCGCTGTTCAAGCATAATACATCGTCTATCAACAAGGTAAGGATTCACTGCATTTATTCTTTCATGCCGTTCTCTAACGGATCACTTGCTGTACGTATGCGAAGAAGAGTCAAGACGCACTGTATTAGAAACAAAAATCAATTATATTTTGATTGGTTTGTTGTTGATTGGAGTTGTTTGGTGGTTAATAATTTTATATTGCCGCACAAAGCTGAATAACTAAAAACTGCAGACTCGTAACGATACAAGAGGCCTGTGGCCGGCAGTGCAAAAATAAAGTCAATACATACAAGCTTTAACCTAACGTATCCATATGTATGTTACCGATCTTGAAAAAAAAACTTTTTTTTAGTTTAAGAAGCTTTAACAAACGATCTATACTCAATTTTGGTGTCATATTTTTAGATGTAGAAATTTCTTACCCTCTAGAAAGGTACTCATTTTCTTCAATAGAATTCTGAAAAACTAATTTTCAAGAAAAGTGTACACAAAAATGTACATAACGGACCTCATTATGTTGAAAACAGCAGTATCATACGAACCATAGACGCATTACATTTTTTCAGAAGCTGGTTATTACAAATCGGGAATAATATGAGGCTGACGAAACGGATTGTTTTCAGGAAATCCGATGACTAAGTATTTAACTGAAGTAAGCACATCCTCTTATGCAATATTTAATAAATACTATTTAAAGCCTAAAATAATTCAATGGTATACCAACACTTGGAACAGAAAATCAGTCGTTACTAGAGCCGATTTGATGTAATCTCCAACACTGGAGTGACAAACAAATGCGACATTCGACATTAACGAGGTTTACTAAGCGCATGCATCTGTTGTATGTTGGTGAGTGTATTCGCGCATGTGTCTGTGTACATGTGTACAAATGGCGATGCACGGAGCGAGCATCACGAATATATTTGAATTGAAATGAAGATGCGTTCACAATGGAAGCGATTGGGAGTGCTTTATGCTGGATAATTCCTGCTGTGTCAAACGATCTTGCCTTCAACTCCCGTTCGAAGAACGTTGGTGCGGCGATGGGACATCGTTCGGCGTCTCATCGTAAACTTGTTTAAGTAATATGTGGAGGCATGCCAGATTGTTACCGTGAAAAAAGTGGATATTTGCCATGACAATTCATAGTTGGCTAGCGGAGATAGGCATGGGCCTTCCTAATAAAATGGGTAGCTGATAGCCAACAATATTGTGAACCATACTATAGTCATGTATATAAACTTGTTGAGAGTTTGTAAGTCTTTTTTAATACTTTTCTTATTCTTATTCTTGCCACTTTTTGCTATAAATCACATTACATAAATCAAAACCTTCTTCTTATATAGAAAGGGGTCGCTGAGCAATTTCAGCCATTGCAAAATTTGTTCCACTGTGATTCGATAGTAATTAAGGGTGTGAGTGACTTGTTAGAACGCATGTTGCCAGGGTGCCCACTAGCTTAACGGCAGAAACATCTCGATAACTAGAATTGATTCTGAATATTTAAAATCAAGTAAAAATCAGTATGATTAAATAGTGATCTTGCTATTTTGTGCTTCGCTAGATTTGCCAAGAATAAACTTGATCGTGTACGAGTATTTACCTAATTGGTAGTTGAACATTAACTATTCTATCGGGTCTTAATAGATATGCATTTTTATTATTTACATAAGCGTTTTATTTGACAGCATAAAAATGACCGGTGGTTCCCGCTCATAAGCAAGATCATAAAACTTGTTTTATAAGAATGATAATAGTTAAAGTTAAAAAAAAAATCACTTGTACGGAAAATCGCAGCGCGCAAGTGAACATTGCCTTTTTTTTTCCAACACTACACTGAAACGGCATTGTTCTACATATAAATAGACTTCTAAATCTATACGATGTTATTTTAATCAAGAACTGAATTCGGTCTGAACCCCGAAATAGCCTGAAAAAAGACGTCAGACGCACACGTCCGAGACCTTGCGCGACATGGGGTCTTAACCCTGGCCTAGTGCCTTCGAAGTGAGTACCGTCATTTTTGTCTTCAGACACTGCTTGTGAGAAGAACGAATTTAATACTAATTATTCACAATCATGACCAATATCACCAGTCCTGGCTCGAGCCCTTCTAAATATATCTACGCGACCCAACATACACCTGCTCAGTTCGGCAACGACAGTCGTAGAATTCAAAGCTACCCATGTAAAATTAGACACTTCATATTTTGAAATGTTCTGTGGATACGTACAAGAGTATGGTTGTACCAGAAGGCCATCCGACGTGATCACCGGGTACACGCGTGTTTTCAGAGTAAGCGATAAGATAAGAGATAATACTGATAATTGATAATACTAACCACAAGCACACTTATACGACACGTTTTACTTAATTTGCAACAAAGCGACAGTTGCTGTCTTCGTTACTATTACAGTTTTTAAGACGCTTCGACAATATAGTACGATTATTGTTTCAATCATCATTACATTGTCTCGTCGTGAAAGTCATTGAGGTAAAATCTGTGAACAGTTGAGGAAACTTATAAACGCACACATACACACACGCGCGTACATATCTAACAACCTGTTGCACTTGTTACTATGCTCTGTGTAGAGAAAGCAAGCAATGACAAGAATATTATAGGATGTCAATAAGCTACTGCACTTCGGGATTATCGCATCAACACGTGTTGATTTCAGGAAGAAGCGAAAACAAAGCGCTTGTTCAAACTTTGCAGCTGTAAGAAGCTTTATTTATTAGTTAGGTGGTAGTCTGGATTTATTTGGGTGTGATTAATTTGACTTTGACCCAGATTATCCTTTTTTATTTGTTATACTTTTCAGTGGCGGTGCTATTTGTGTGGGATTCACCTTTAAACTTGCTATGTGTATATACCCACCAGTGCCGGTGCCAGCGAAGGCTTCACGAATCGGAACGAATCAATAGCGATTCTGCACCGCATCAGAGCGGGCTGGGTCGTGAGGGAATCGACGAACATAATAACTAATAAAACATATATATATATACAGTAACGAACAAAAATTAGAAAAAAAAGAAACATGCTTGTTTACTTGCGGGAAGCTACGCCGTGTTAAACTTACATTTCATGAATAACTGTGCAATAGTTTATTCTTTCATAGCAGACTTTCACACTTCGGAGTGCTAAGACGCGAAAGCCTTAATATAAGAGATGCTTTTACCGTAAATTGAAATAAGTTGAAATCTGTGGTTAAGAAATAGAAATTTGTGGTTTAGAGCCTGTTCCTATTCTTAATTATGTTTGTGTATGTATGCGTGAAGTTACATGGCCACGCTCAGATCAGTCTCCGCTAGCTCTACGGTACAATCGAATACACGAAATTATAGGTAAACATTGCATGAAGTCTGTAGAATATAAGGCACGGATAGATATTTAGCTGTAAGCTCGCTGGCGTCCACCCTACATATGCGCTACCCTATCTATATTTCTATAAAGGGTGTGACAGTAAACCTTAACCTCAACGCAAATAAAATTATTGCAATTCCTCAAAGCAGTGCTTTGCTTGCTAAAAGAGGCTTGTGCGCAGCTTCACTGCGCGTCGATTTTCTATATAGTTAGTATTTATGTCGTCTGCTCGAGCACTCTCACTCAAAATTTGTTAAACCCGCTGGCTGGTCAGTGGACAATTGTTCAAGAATAAATCTATCTGGGAGCTTTAAACCTCCGTTCAAAATGCGTTATGCATTCGACCATAAATCTGAAGTTCTGCCAAAATAAAGCTGCTAGCTTTGATTCTGCTTGGAACGAATGCTTGTATCAGGTTTTCGTTTCTACACCCTATTCGACGGCCTTGACGAATACTTGAATACAAAGTGGCCGCATTCAAAACGAAAATCCCCTATATATGGCACTAAACAGAAAACTATCGCCACAAGCTCATTAGTCATCTTTCTGAGCTCTTGATTATGGATCGACTGTTATGGTACCTGGAAGCTTTTGGAACTACATTATTGAATATGTACAGCTTTTGGACGAGTCGCATTGTACATACAGATTACTCGCTTCTATAGGGAAGCATGCAGAATGCCTTTAGCAGACTGAAAGACCTTTATGCTGTTCTCATTGTTTCCGCCCGACGTTCAACAAGACCACAAAACCTGTTGCCTGGATGGATAACCCGAGCCTGAATGTCAAAAATCCAGTCAACCTGATGTTGAATACATTTTAAACATTCGAGTGAATAATGGCGTTTAAGTGGAATTACAGGAGCGGCTCAAGACTACAATTTCAGTCCAGTCTATGGTTATCTTTGATTTTGGAGAAAAAAGTAGACAGGATCCTCCTTCTGTCTATGAAGTTCATTACTTTTGATCTGGTGTTGCTGTGAAAAGATGCCAACGCATTCACTCTATTAGTTGGTAAGTGAGTGATTTTTGTGAAACTACTTTTAATGTTTATGTATAGTTAACTAACTACATTTAATTCATAATAATTTGATTTACGGGTATCAAGTACTTTAACTATGAGTATATGTAAGTGATATTGAATTAATTACGTAAAAGTGTGTTTTTCTAAATTTACCTAAATTTTTCAAAATTTGAATTATCAAACAGTGCTATATATCTCATATCTACTGTTTGACTATCCCTTATCATCTATAGTGATAATTTTGGGCGAAATGATTTACAGCTTGCTAATATGCAGAAAGTGAACTTTACTATTTGTTTTCTTAATTTTTGTATAGACATATGTAGCCTCTTAAATATTTTCCACCACCTGTGGCATGCAGGTTTGTATTCTATGATTACTGTAAAAATTCAATCTGTACTATTCTACGTTATTATTCGAACTTTACTGTTGCACTCACAGTTTGTGTGGCCTTGGCTAAGTTTAATGGTAGACAAATCACGCCAGGTCCGATATGGGACTTCAATTATCCGATATCGGGTTCATACCTACCCAGCCTTTTTACAGCGATAAGGAGGGTTGTATTTGATGTGTACTTTAGAAGTAAATAAAAAATGACTCATCATTAAAAGGCCGTCCCCTAATGGTTGTCACGCTCTGTTTCAACATTAAGCAAAATATATTCATTATTTCACATACATTAAGACGTTTCATACATAAAATGAGTGGCTTTATTAACACCAAAAATTTTCTGGCGTAAAGTTCTAATAAAAAATGGCAACAATTCAAACGAGAGAAGAATTACATGAGACTGAGTCTTGTCGGAAGGCTCGGCTTGATGGGAAGACAGTATGATGAATACGGCACTTACTAGAGAATCATGTTTCCTGTTCGAAGACGAAAGATTTCCCATACGGTTAATGGAAACTGACCCAAAACTGGATTTTTGGGCTGTTATCTCAACGGTAATTGCCTACTATTGCAGACTTTATACAACAGACACATTACTTTTTGGAAAAAAAATTTGATATTTACTTTAAACCGGTACCTGTATACTGCTTACATGCTAGGTTTCAAGCAACCTTATAATTATACGGAATTTCCTTAGTTTCAGCAAAATAGTGGGGAGTAATTAATTCATAGTAACGGGAGCCCTGCTACAGCTCGAAATATGAATGGACCATATTAGTTTAACATTTGAAGCACAGTAGCTGGATATTGGAAGCAAAAATAGGAGTTTTTCAAGTTGTTCAAGTTTTCCATCGAACTACTTTGATAGGATAGCAGAGTGAGTCGAACACTGCTATAAATATATTTAAACAGGATAACCGCATAACGCGATAACGTTCCTGAAATGGCGCAGGAGAGAGAAATAGGGACACGAAGCATTTGCAAACAAGCATGTACGAACAAAGGCTACAGAAATAATTGCAGGATAGTGATGGGCAGCATAATTTAAATCAAATGGGCAGATCTTGCACATGTGTGGTGTTAGTTACCGAACGGGTCAAAGGGTGACAGGCACTCAGTCTATAAATTATTCAAATTTAGTTTTCAAAGGTATTAGTCCTATATAAAAAAATTACAACTGTCCTTATGAAAGTATCTTGAAAATATATATGTATATATAGTCATTGTAAAGACAAAATTAATAATCAAATTTTTGAGATATAGGTTTTATTATGCAGTTATGCCAAGCTATGGTCGAAACTACACATAATTAAATTTTTTTTCTGTAAACTTGAATTGCTACTACAACATGTTTACTACCTCTATTATTGAATTAAATTTTTCCACACAAAAGTTCAATAATTACCAGCCTGCAACCCGCCGTGAAAATTTTGCATTTATTTAATGCTTTCCTTTTGCACGAAATTCGCGTAGGTAAACATGTACCCAACTTCAACTAATTCTTCTATTGATATTGGTATTTACGCAAAGCATGCAAAAAAAATATTGATAGCTTTTTGACAGCGCTCGAAACTGCGCATTCCTTGTACGTTTTGGATCGCATCATAAAACCCGCCGTCTACTCCAATACATACTGTTGCAATTAAAATGTATTTTTATCTGTTAATTTAAATTTAATCACTGCAAACTTATCCTGCAAAAGTTCTATTCTCAGAAAAAGCGCTTAGCTATCCGTCATCCGAGTCAACAAACCTTTAAGTAGCATTTTTCACACGAAACCACATGACAGAATAGATTTTGCTAGATATTAGATAATAGATTTATTTGAAAAGTAGTGTTTAAACTTATAGATGAATGCATTTTAATTAAGTTGTTAAAACAGCTAACCGATTCGAAATGAACTTGATGCATCCCCGAAACCATTAACATTTTACTGGTTACCATACTTAGCTGCCAAAATACCTTCAGTTAGCCTTTATCTAATGGAACGTAAATAAATCCAATGCAGTTTTGCAAATTAACGCCGTACTACTTTTTGCATATAATTTGCTCGGATACACGATCGCACGCTGTATATACTTCTATGTATAGCTGCGACATGGTGCTACCGCGGTATGAAAAAGTAGTTTTTTAATTGGGAAAGATAAACATGCTGTTATTACAGACGAAAAATAAAGAACTTCCCTACGTAAAGTGCAATTTACCCACTGTATTAGGCTTTACGCAATAATGCGTCCATCCTACCATATGAAAATGAAATTTGATAACACGCCGCCGTTATGAGGCTTGAATAGCATTCTGCTTTTGCTCTCCCGAAGAACCCGATGCCAGGCAAAACAGATTTGACACAAGAGATACCAGAGATCAATACGAATAGCATCTCATCGCGGCTGTAAGTGAATCTCCGACACTTGGGCTATGATTGGATTCGAAAACAACGCACACACATTGTAGATGAACACTCGGGTTAACTGGTCCTCCTTGATGTTCAAACGCCACTGACCGCCGTCCATATTTAACGGATTCTCTTTCATCGGCATGACGTGCTTACGGAATACCATCAACACAGTTGCGTTCTTCAGGTCGATGGCGCGTCCTAATCGGTCTAGTAACTTCATAGTCGTCGATCAAGGCCCACCGCCAACCTCGACTAGTTAGAACTCCACGTGAGTAAATCATTACAGTCTCACCACAACCACAGTGTAAAGTTGACGTCTGTGTCTTCGATCATAGAGTCTGGACAATAAATTTAAGTGTATTACTAGCATTTTTTCAACTAACTTACTAGTACAGGAATGGAGGATGAAAAACGAAACTATAATTAAAATCTTTGAAGAAATAAAATTATATATGCATGTACATTAGGTTTGTTGTTAAAAAAGTATTGACTATTTGTCTGCCTAGTTAGTCAAAAATTAAACAATCACATACATCAGGTGATATGAGTCGCGTTGGGTTGACTTAATGTTATTTAAAAGCTGAGATTCTGGTAATAATAGGTACATTAAAATAATACTTTTTTTTTCAGACTTTAGATAAAATGCAATTTTTTTGTAATTAAAAATTAATTCTATTATGATAAAAGCGCGAATGCTATTTTGACTCATAAAAACGCACTATTTATGGTCAAGATACATTAGCGAAATAAACGACTTAAAAATGGTAGTGACTCTTTCCTTCTGGAAATTTCGATAAAGAAGAAGTTCCTCGTAGTCGGCAGCTAATTATGGGAAAAACTGGAAACCGTGTTCCACAATTTGTGGCAAAGCCGAGGCTAACGTTAACGAAACTGCTACTATGTGTTTGGTGGCATTGGAGAGAAGTTGTGTGTTATGAATATTTGCCGTCTGACGAAACGATTGATTTGAACAGAAAACAAGGCATTGAAAAAAAAACTGGCTGAAAATTCTGCAGAAAGGGTCACACAAATATTTAGCTACCCAACAAACATTGAGATAACTTAAATGGGAAATTTGTATGTTTCTGCTTCATAGCTCGGATTTTGCCCCTTCTTCGCCCCCACAAACTATCATCTGTTTCGGTTTCCGCAAAACTACCTTAGTGGTAATAATTTAGTTTCAATAGATACATGCAAAAATAGTGCGTCACAATTTTTCGCCCAGAAACCAACAGAAGGTCATCGCTCCAAATTGCGGATCCCTTAGTTTAATTATATTATTATACTCTGAAATATAAAATTATATTAGTTTTCATTTTGGCTTGAGAACGGTCAATACTTTTTAGCAATCGATTAAACAAGTACTATAGAAAACGAAGGTGTATTTTTCAGAAGAATACAAATTGCCTTTCGTAGTTCCGCTAAACTTACTTGTTTGAAGTAGAAACAAAAAAACATTTATATCCATTGCTTAGAAGCACTGACCAGGAAAGGCAAGACGATAAAAAGAAAAGTTGAATACGTATTGCACCATGAACGAATGCGCCTGATCAAAGCAACGGTCATTTAGTATATAGAACATGTAGGTTCGCCAGGCTATAGAAGCAGCTTAACCGAAATAGATCTGCGGCTCACGAATATGTTAATGTTATTTTAAAATAATGAGAACTAACGATAACAATAACAATAGAACTTTGGTGAAACTATCTATTTCATTTAGAAGAATCTAAATTTATACCTATTTGTTTACAATACGCACAAGATTACCCAAACATTGTAAATTCGAGATAGCTACTTTATGAATGAGAAATGTTAGTTATCTTTACCAGAATATTTAGCTAGCATTCACTACTGTCTCTTAAGCGAGTACAACATTGTGCTTCTTCTGATTGAAGTGTCCTTTTTCATGATTCCAGACGTAATCACCTACTCGGACTGTGAATACGTTAATAGACAGTTTGTACGAATCAATCGACATGTCTCACTATCAAAAACTCGCTAAAGGTTCCACTTGAGAGAAGTGATCAATCAACATTTGAGCTAACACCTCAATGCTTGATCAAACATCCTTTGACATAACGGATCTCGAATAACCCTGTGTTGCTCGGCGGCGGCCTTTACGGCATGAAGCTATATCCGAGGACAGATCACTCATATGGAATAATACAAAAGTATATTATAGCGAAATGAATCATAGCCAACATTTATTGGTTTGTTTGCTTCCAGAATATGACCTGTGTCAATTACGTCAATTATTAAAAAACTACATATTTTTTCATATCGTTATTACTTGGCACAAATATGCCATTGAATTGAAAACCAGAATAAGTTAAGAGCTAAAATACAAAACCGTTCATATCTGTCAGATGCTGATTGATTGCACTGTTCACTGTGAGCCCAATGGATACCTATTATATAGGATTTTTGCCTTAAAAGAGGTACAGGCTCAAACTATATTGTGTCACTTTGTAGAGCAAAACAAACAATTCGCCTCCTATTCGTACTCACCTACTAACTATTTCTCCAGAGCCAAACTATGGCTTTATACGGTAATATCACATAAAAATTCGAATAAATATGGGTTCTTCTTTTGGGAACTAATTATTGTACCGATAGAAAACTTACGTCATGCAAACAGTCCTCTCTACTTTGCAATATCATTCATGTAAGTAGTATTTTTACCATACTGACTGCACACGACGCTCAAAGGATCAAGAATATTTATTACAGATATAACGATGGTTCAGAAAAACTAATCTATATTTTGACTGACTGTTGCTCTTTCGACGAGCCAACATTATATGCCTTCATTGTTATGAATTTCATTTCAAACGAAGGGAAACGCTAGAACAGTACAATACAAAACAATCTAGAATGTAAACATTTCTGAGACACACTAATACTACTCGCTAGCTATGAGAAATGCCACATAATGCTACAGCGCTACCGGGTTCCGCTAGACTCCGCGAAGCCAGCGTTTGATACAATATCTTATCTTCGGCGTTCTATAAAACATTTTTTTTTTCATTAAAAACACAAACTATGTCTCTCACTATACTGTCGCTTATCCGGTCGCTTATCTGTGACGCATCACATTGATCTATATTAATAACGACAGTGTTAAAGCTTGATGATCTGGCTAACTGTTTCGTAATGTCGAAAAAAATGAAAACATATGTGTTTATCTTATATTTTATGCGTAAGCATTCTTGTACCATGGCTTTGACGAAAGAATAATGAGGCTGATATCAACATTATGGTAATGCCGTTTCAATTTATCCTAAGTATTATCCCGTGACAACGTATGTGCCTCCTAACGTTAGGACACGTTCCGGGTCTATACCGGAACGTGTATATATGCACAGACGTCGTTTCGTGCTGGGAGCCAGCCGTCTCCCTAGTGCGTAGTGACGATGCCAGGCGTAAAAATCGAAATCTAATTATTAACATTAATTCTACCTTTGTTTCTTCAACGTTACGAATTAATCCATAATACAAGGTATATTAGTCGTAGGCTATATTAAATTGGCAACTGGGGCCCCTTTCTTCATTTTCTGCTTCTACTGAACTTAGCCATCATTGGAACGACATTACGTTCAATTCTAAATTGTGAATACAATATTCTGCTCAGAAGATCGCATAAAACAGCCAGGAGAAGTTCTACCTTCTTTTGTAATTTTTTCTACAATAAATTTGCTAGGTACTTCGGATTTAAACAGTCTTAATTTGTATGCGCCTCAACTAAGGTAAGATGCGTGTTGGCACTTAACACCGTCTTGTGTAACTAGTCCTAGGTGCTAAAGGCAATTTTAACATTGTGACTTTTACGTCGATCATTTCTACGAAGACCGAAGAAAATTATGCTATCAGTAGAGTAAATGTAGGCAGTCACATCAGTAGGATAAGTACCCCTAAATTATAGAGTGTCCTTATTATAGACAGAGGCTTCTAAGAGATTATTGGCTTAAATTAAATATTTAAATATATATCAATAAGTTCCTGGGGGATGACAGAGCTGTAACTCGGCTGCTAATTATTCTTGGGTATAAACTTCAATATCCATATTGCCAAAAATTCATTCCACTTGATGAATCGGAAAAAAGATCATAGCTATGCTATTCAAGAAATACTGTCCCGAATATATTACTTGTCATGGCTTGTCCAACATAGATTTTTATTAAAATGTAAATAATTAATAACTGCTACCAAAACTGTGCCCAAGTAGAGCTGTTCTGCCTTATTTTGGTGGAAGTGCGTTTATATAGTCCTAATTAGAATTTAGCAGAATGTGCGCCAAGGGTGCATAGAACGTTCGCTAAATAACCGACAAAATTTTTTTATTAAGCGTGATTATTTTTATTCTTGTTATATTTGACTAATGTTTATGTTACATAGTACATATATGTTTTATGTTATTATGTTTTTATCATGAACCTTTCGTCAGAAAAGTGCTTTTTGAATCGAAGGATTTCGCCAAGAAAAATGTTTACTCAATCAATTTTTGCAAGTTCCAAGCATGGGATACTAGCACTTCTCTGCAGTATGTACTCACACACACATATGTTTTTTATGAAAATATATATATGTTATAAAAATCATAACTTATCCTTTAGAAATACTCAAATGGCAGATAGTGACTAAATTGCATATAAATTTACTTCTACATATTGACAGCTCTAAAATGCTATAGTTTGTGTGTTGTTAAGTACGTTGACAATACCAAATTTTTGACCAAATCAGTTTTAAACTAGCCAAACTTTTGTAAACATCCAGATAAATTAATTAATAACTAATTAAACTCGCATAACATACGGCAATATTAAGATTTCCCTTTTTTTACCGCCTCTGCTATAAGTAAAAGATACAGATTTTTTCGTGCTATGCCAATCTTTACGCAGTTATTCGTTTCTAACGTTTCACTACGTGTCTATGTAATCAACCGCATTATTTCAGGCGCCTACCTCCCTGTTTCATCTCCATGGTCGCCTCTCTGTCTCAACCGCTACGAAATATACCTAGGTTACTGTGGCATTCACATAAAGCGAGCAGCTCCGGCTAACGGTGTTCACATCTTCCCTCAATTCCAACATTGGCTCGGTAGGACATTGTTAATACAAGCCGGTTATCTTTCAGAGGAAAGGAGGAATGGATGTTGGATAGCGAGGGCGGATCTCCATACCCCCGAGGTTGGTTGCCATGCCGACTGCTATGAGCTCTCGCCCGACAGAGTCCTTCGTTCCCACCCTGCAGCTGGTCAGGGTTGCTCCCAGTTGAAGCGGCAGCAACAGGAACGGCGCTTCTGAGTGTTCTATCAAAAATCCGCTCTTGTTTTTACTTCCGGGGGTAAGTGTCTTGTTCAAACTTTTCGTCAACTCATAGGCCAAATCTTGTAAATGTTGAATACTTTCAGTTTCAGGCACATAACATTTGCTTGTAAAAATGATCGCAAAATTACCCTAGGCCAATGAACATGGACGATTTCAACTTCTGCGGGAATTTGATCCAGCTCAGAGCTTTACTAGAGTCCATTCACTTGCTTCCTACGAGATGAGCAAGGCTTAACTTTCGGTATTTTAGAAGTGATTAGGAAACGAAACAGGAAACAGCATCTTGTTCCTGATGCTGCAGAACTCTTCCCTTGAAGCTATGCGAATCCGACATGGTCGTTATTTAGCGATTTAAAATGGCCATGTTGACTATTTCGTCGAAATTGTACTTATCGATAACGCTTGCAAACACTGTCGTGTGTAAAATAGCTTCATATTGATAACAATTATACCATTCCTTCAATGTGTACTCCGATACTTACTTGCAATAATGTGGTCTAGCTCATCGACAAAATGTCGTTTAATTTCAGCGAAATGTACCACGTATATGTGTCGTGTGTTTTTCTTCTTGCGATTGGCGCGGCGAACGCAGTAAAAATCGGTGAGTATTTAACATAGGACGCCATTAATGACATCACAGATTTAGGAATACGCACGATTTGGAACGAGTCCTTATAGAAACTAATGAATCAGTTTGGCAACGTGACGAAAAAGAACCAACGTACCACACTTTTTACAAATTCATCACGAACCGCAACGGATGACTATAGTTATCGCTCTTTCATTTTTGAGCGTCACATGCATTACAGGGACAATACTAGGGCCATTATTTTTCAGTATTTTTGTAGTGGCTCTCTATGGGAATGTACTTGAATGTAACGTTCCATGACGACGAAAAATTCCTATTAATTTTTCAAAGTCGACTGCATCTGCGCTGTAATATTTTGGGCAAGCTTCCTAACCGGTAGAAAAATGTCTTTCATAGATTTCTTTGAATGGTAAAAGAGAGAAATGGAGTAACGTGCTCTTTCATTTACCCAACCTCGGTGTAGGGAGCATTTCTTATATCGTTGCTACGTGCCACCTGGTGCTATCTCATGACATCGTTGGAAGCATGAACGTCAGTGTTCGGACATAACTATCTATGAAGTTAGCAGTGAAGTTATTCATATATATATATATAATATCATACTGAAGCGTACAACGTCAGGCATAATATTACCCAACTAGTTCGGATACATACAAAATTTCGATTGCTTCTGTAGAGCTATTAACTGTTGTTCAGGAGTTCATAGTTAACATATCAGTACTAGATTAACATCATATTATAAGTTCGATAGCCAAACTTTCGATAACTTTGTTTCATCACATGTCGCTCTTGCGTCTTTATGACAAGTATAAATCCAGCAGATATTGGCTCGTCTCGTAAACTGATATATATGTCTATACTAAGATAAGGCGGCGAAGAGGAGACAAAGCAATCTACGCCTACTTGACAAAAAGAAACAAGGATCTGTTGAGGTGGAGCTTGCCGGTAGCATTTTAGCCGTCGATCTTCCTGTCAACGCATCTGTCACATGTCGATCTATCAAAATAGTTCGTGCTGATGAATCAATCATTAACAACAAATAGCATGGGGTAGAAAATCTCAGTTGGATTTATTTGATAGCACACATTATAGCGAATATAAAGTACCTTTTGACTGTCGCCATTGTCTGCAAAGTTTGGAGAGCGACATGTTGAGGCAGAATGGATACACATCGTTTCTCATAGGGTTCATGTGGAACACCGATTGTATAGCTGATCAAAAAAGCAATTCTTAACGATTTCATTGTTTTTTTACCTTTTCTGTTCGGTACCGTATTCCTTTTAGATCTGGCCGGTTTTGCCATTTGCCGCTTTAACTATCTAGATCTGAGCTAGTTATTACGAAGAACTTATTATTTTCGTGTAAACAGTGCATCATTATCCATAATTGGGCTGTGAGCGAACCAGTTGCATCTTCTAGTGATTATTATCGTTGCGTGTCTAGCAATTAGTACAAAAAATTACCGACTAACAAAAGGAGACATACATTTAGAATATATGGTAAAACGTTCAGCAATCTTTGGTTATTTCGACACTATATAGCCTTTATTAATTAGTTTTATTGCTCTATCGTCGGACTCTTCAGGTGTAATCATGCCGCCAGGGTCGGCCCCTGCAAAGCACGTGTTCGAGGCAATCGTCTCCCCATACAACGGCTCACGACCATCGCCTGAGGGGGATTTCAAAGTTGGATCGTTCTTCGCGGAAGTGGCTCAAAGCGATATTTTTTCGGCCACTCGAGAATGTTAGTGCATTGTTAACAGATAACGTTATCTTACCTTCGTTTTATAAGAGGCCGCACTAAATAATAAAGTAGCTAAAAATTATACGGAATATATTCACAACTAATACTTACAATCGTGCCGTGAACACAGCAATACTATGTGAGGACACCTGAGTTACGTCGCTGGTAATACGTTCAAATATGCTTATGAAAAATACGTGTTAACTAACACCTGATAATACAGTTAATTAGTTATTTAGGCAAACTAACTAATCTTAATATCCTACATCAGAAAGTACTGTCGATACGTCGTAAATAACCATTAACGCTACGAGGTTTTGTGTACGTGTCTTTGTATATGAAATGTGTACGACCGAACAGTATGCGACCAACTGCGTCATCAGGTCACGAGTGTGGTGATTTCACTCCCGCTGACTTCAAGTGCTCTTCAAGGGCTCTTCAAGGGAACCAACGTTCCCTACATTTCCACAACGTATCAGGTAGATGACATTTAAAAATGTCTCTTTGTAACTATTTTGGGGTACAGTGCGAAAAAAAAAACAAAATTATAATGTTGGAATATATAAATGGAAACACATACTAGTGAAAGTAGAAAAAACAATAAGAAGAAATGATTTCTCGGTCTGTACATTATGAAAAATCGTTGTGAGACAGACAATCGCTACGTGTGTTTCTATACTATATTCATGATGTTTGCGGTAACGAGAGAATTCAGCTGCCCAGTAAATTCCGATGTTAGACTTGAGTTGTGTTAGGGTAATTGGCAACGTACTGTCTGCGCTGCCTAAAACTACAAGTCGTCACTTTTTTTAACCGTCCTAATTAATCCGTCCCAATTCGCACGAATAACCTTCAACAATTTGAACTATGTCTAGCTTTCGACGTCCTTCGCTTTAAGCGCTTAGCCTTTAGGTAGACACGTCCATTGAAAAAAGTCAATTACTCTGTATTATATATAACGTCTTAGATGATGCTTTCCTCTTCTGTCCTGCTGTATTATGAGCTTCGTAGAATCTATCTGTGATGTAGTTGTTCTAATATTCATTTATCAGTGCCAACTGATGCAAAGGGTTCGCACTCTCCGTGTTCGATGTTTTTAGCCATAGAAAAGACATGACACACTGCTAATCAATAGAAAATTCATTGAAAATGATAAATGCTTATTTAATTACGCTAGCTCGGTCAAAGTAAGCCAAACAAATTCTCTCTCTCTCTCTCTCTCTCTCTCTCCCCCTCCATATATGTATGTAGATATGTATATGTATATATATGTTCTCGTTTTTTCAAAGTTGATACTATTCGAGTTATTTTAATAGTCAAAAAGCGATAAAAGTGTATAGCATAGAATAGATTATCTTTTTCACTGGTCATTTTCATAATAAAAAGTAGCTTTATAATATGTTAGTTTTTAACAATGATGCTACTTTTCGAAGGTTCGAAGATCAGTAAACTTGTTGAGAATTGACTCCGAATATAATAGAAATAATTATGTGTGAATAATGATCAGAGTAGGATAATATGGACTATTTTTATTGAAAATATCAAAAACTAAATAGAATAAAATGCTTTCACATATGCAGCGCAATTGCCTTTTGGTCTAGCTTAATAGAGGCTGTTGAGTGTAGCCGAAGAGATGTTTCTACGATCGACTTGTAAATCATCATTGTTGAACCACAATTAATGAGAAAAATGATTACAATATGTTCTGTTTAAAATTCCACAAAGAAGATAAAGTATGGGTTGAGATCTCAAAAGTGGTAGAGGTTAGAAGAGATCGAAGCGCCGTCATTCATGCACCAACAGTTCTTTTTCTCTGATCTTTAACATCTTTTCTAGACCAACTGAAAGATCGAATCTTTCTGCATATGCATATTTATTGAACATACTTAAACGTCTTATTCTAATATTCGCCCACTGCCAATTTTAGGATCACTGTCGCTCGGATCTGCACTCCAGCGGACGTCGCCATAGCCCGCCAGCCGACAATTTAGGATTATCGCTTCTGCCCGATGTTATCCCCGCGATCGCTGACACTATCGACCATTTTGGTTGGAGCTCTTTTATTTATCTCTATGACTCGGACTCCGGTACCCAAAAATTGCAACGTTTGCTTAACCATAAGTACCAGCGAACGAACGCAGTGACGATGCGTTACGCGAAAAGGGTGAATACGCCAGCTGAGGCAAACGTGTTCCTTCGTGCCGTCGATCTGGCCGACCGAGACGCCAATAAGTATGTCATTCTCGATGTACCCTTCGCGCGTGCCAAGGAAATTATTGTGGGTCATGCACGTGACCCACACGTAGGCAAGCGGAATTTCCATTTCGTTCTGGCCCAGCCCGTATCAAATGAACTCCAGCATCAACTCGTTGAAGAGTTCAGCGTCGTTAGCATCACAGCGTTTAAGTAAGTTAACGATTACTTCAGCGGCACTGATGTGGGTAGAAAGAGCTTTTCGGCTGTCTGTTGTACGCCAACAAGCGATAAGTACGAAATTTATTCTATATACGGGATCAAAAATTGGCTAATTGCTATTTTGCTAGAGGTCACACGGATAGGTAAAAATGTGATACGCTTAACGGGTCTGGGCTCTGTAAAACTCGAGCAGCGCAGTTTTTGCGAGTTTTACCTATAGTGTATTTTTTCGTACTCCCATTGTTTGGAAGATATAAGAAACAGGCAGGCTTAAGCCAATTGAAATATCGTTCTTGATAGTATGGACCTGTGTGGTGACGAAACGAATGAACTTACATCAGAATCTAAAGTGAGCATTTTTAAAACAAGCATCGAATTTTTCTGGAAACTATAGTTTTCAACAAGGAAAGTTCTTTTCGTATCAATGCTGCACATCTGAAAAATCGTTAAAACCTGTTCCAACATGTCCGGCACCTACGACCATATAAATAGCTTTGCTTATGCACACAAATTATGTAATATCTATTGGTTGTAAGAGCTACTTATATACATGCCGATTTCACCCGCTTTACCTACGTAAATGCGACAGTAACAAGGGGTTTCATTACGAGCCTGTTCCTCATGTAACTATGTATCTGCGTGACCGCGTATTATTTTTTAGGATGACTTCTGAAGCGGAAGCAGTTAGAAAGTTTTTCGAAAATGTTCCACGATCTGATGATCCCTCACAATGGTCGGAAATAACCGAGGAAAAAATCACCGCTGATCAGGCTCTTTTGCACGATGCCGCCCAGATCATCGTAACCGCATATAAGGAACTAAGAGCGAACGGCCAAATTCCACGCAAGTGAGTTAAAACCCGCTGCAATTTTTGATGTTACTCCATATGATCAAGTGAAATTTTCGGGACTCATAGTTTACAAAAGTTGTTCGAAAAACGCAAATGAAACAAGCATTACTTACAAAAACAATATGCAATGTTGGCTATCTAAGCTAAATTTTTTCATTGATATATGAACTGTGTTTATCATTCCGTTTAATGGTATATAATCACTCACCTGGTTCATATAATGCAATTTCAGACACAGAACGTAAAGGTGTTTGTTGTCGATCATTTTGCATATTTCAAACGTTGACAAGTCCTTCGTTTGCGCCATGCTCATACCCTGTATAAAATTCTTTTTAGCTACTTGTTAGCTACTTAGTGAAATATAATTTATTTAATTTAATAAAATATATAAATAAAAACGTAATAACCTGATAATAATATGACAATATCAAGATAACATGTTTGCCTACCAAATTTAAGGACATGTGATGGTTTAGGTTCAGATGCCGACGTAGACGTACTTCGTTTCAGTGGGAAGAAGCCGTTTGAAGCAATACTGCAGATAAAGCATAGCATATTTAATTGAACGGATTTGGCGAAAGGTAACGTAATGAGCAAAATTAATGAGGGTCGAAAAGACACCGAAAATACGATTGCAGACAACGGTCGCCCATAAATACACATTTTCTCTATAGAAGAAAGTGATCTAGAACTTCGAGTTTTCCTTTTGTGTGAACAAGCGTGCGAAAGTAATATGGTTGCAACCTTAGATGTGTTCAAAATGCTATGCAAATTCCTTTTTGCTCTCCTTGGACTAGAAAGCCAGCCAGGCCAATAGATCCTTTGATGTCAATGAAGGCATATATATATAATCTAAAAAATGATAGCACTCTACAACGTCGGAAGCTAACTAGTACATAACCAAGGCTATCTTAAATTGTGTTCACTTGACACATTACTTCAGCTGCATTCTGTAGCTCTTTTCACAATGGACTGAGAAAAAACGGGATGGTTGGCAAAAAAAAAAAGCAGCTTTGTTAAGTAAAAAAATTCTCGATATGAAAGTATTGCGCAATAAATGGCGTCCAAAGCTTCCAGAACACACTCAGAAGCTGCTAAATGTCTATTTTCTACGCGCCACTGAGAAATATTATCTACTGACGATAATCTTTCGTCTAAATTCAGGTTTGAAGTTTACTCTATATATATACCTATTAAACCTTTGGTGTACGTTCATAAACCATAATGACTTGAATTGAATTGTCTCGTAGGACCGAACGTCATAAACAAATGCTGTGAATAACTAAGTGATTGTGTAGATTATTTGCGTCTACATATTTTCCAAAAAGAGTGTTTATATTATATATAGACGGAATCAGTATCCGCACCC